AGCGACTTTTTTGCTACGGTCAACTTTAGCGACTTTTTTGCTATGGTCAACTTTGGCGACTTTTGTGCTCTGATCAACTTTGGCAACTTTTGTGCTATGGTCAACTTTAGAGACTTCTGTGCTATGGTCAACTTTAGCGACTTCTGTGCTATGGTGAACTTTAGTGACTTTTGTGCTATGGTCACCTTTAGCGACTTCTGTTATAATTTCACATTAAGCAACTCAGACTTGGGTGTTTTTGTAGCTAACAACTGAGCAACATATACGAGTGACCTGTGTTAATTAAGTTTTGGTTAAGACGTGTGTCTTCATGGAGTAGAGAATATTGCTACAACATTTTCTACCATAGACGGCAAGTGTTTAATCTATCGGCTAAGTAGTTTTAAAACTGACTTCGACATAACCTTTCATTCCAGTTTTTTTCCCCGCGTAAGAGTTTAAGTGCCTCCGTTTAATTTATCACTCCTAGGACTAGGCGAAAGGCAGAAAGCGTAAATTATATTAAATTTTGTGGGAGGTTGAAATAGAGTGGGGGGAAGGGGGGAGTATTGTGACGTCATACTGAAGAGTCAGCTAAAATTATGTGACGATGTTACTGGTTGAGAAATGTGAATGTTAGGTTTTGGGGAGGGGTTTTATGGGTGGGGGGGGGGGGATTTTGTGAGGAGGGGTTGCTATTTGTAGAGGTTTTGTGGGGACGTGTTTATTGGGGATGGATTATATGGGGAGGGGTTTTTAATAAACATTCTCTTTCTAAGTTAAGCGCATAAATTTGAAGTTTTTCCATCTCATTATAAACATTCACTTTCTAATCCAAGCGCCTAAATTTGAAGTTTTTTTTTTCCATTTAAAAAACAACTGACAGACCAAACCTACCTCCCAAGGCTGAAGATGTGTCTTCTACCACCACTACAAACACCTCGCCCATCCCATTGTAAGTCTGACGTGAGAAATGTTTACAATTTCTCCATTCTTGGAGCCTCACTCTGGGCAATTAATTCCTGTTTCTAGTACAGTGTTTAAACTAGCCTCAGCAAACATGCCCGGCCTACCAGGATGGGGCAGGGTACCATCATGACCGGCCTACCATCAGGGGAAGGTACCATGACTAGATCCAAACAGAAAATTTGCTGACGGTATAGGTCTATTTATTTTCTCCTGTCTAATACTTACAAAAATCGACTGGATATTTTGTAAAAATACTTCAAGGGTGGGGCTGGACGGGGGGGGGGGGGGGGGGTGGGGGGGGAGGGTGTTGAGTCTATAAAAATTTGACGAGAGTAGCGGGGATGTAAATAACACCGTGTACAGACAGACAACAAACGTGTAGTAGGAGAGATGGATAAACAGATCGCTGGACTGACAGACAGGCAGATATACAAACATATAGATGTATATGTTTATGTTGATGAAATAATTGTATAGTACATTTGACATCACCGACTTATACAAGTAAATATAGTCACAAAACAATATTTATGTTGAAGAAATAAGGCTGTATTTCACACTACGTTACCGACTAGCTTATCTTACTAACACCACTGTATTGATCTTTATCGTGTATTTTTTTAGATCGATATCAGCTAGATCTGAACCCTATGAAGATCTAAATTATGTTTGTTTTTTTACCGCCTTAATGACATTTTACCCGCACTTCTGATCCCCATTTAGACCTATGCACTTTATGTCCGATATCCTTTTAGATCTATATCCTGTATAGACGACCCCCACAAAGGCACCTTGCTACATTGATTGTCAAAGTTGTAGTTATTTTTTTCTTGTCTATTTCATTTCGTTTAACTAATTAAGGCCTACATCTAAAAGCAAATGAATATTTTTCCAATATATAAATAAATAAATAAATATATATATATATATATATTTTTATATATATATATATATATATATATATATATATATATATATATATATATATATATATATATATATATATATATATATATATATATATATGTGTGTGTGTGTGTGTGTGTGTGTGTGTGTATGTGTGTGTGTATTTATCATTTACAGAAGAATTTCCATTTTCAGACACGATAATGTAGTTTGTTACAATTCACTACAGCTCAAACCATAACTTACAAAACTAATCCAGGATTGGTGGGGGGGGGGGGGGGGGGAATTTAAATAACATCACAATCAGATAGTAAAAAAGTGCTTCAAGTGGGTAAAAATAATAGTTAGGGTAGGTTGACTATATAGCATGTTATTTGTATTTTATTCCAGAACAAAAATAAATGAAAAATATAATTAATTTACTATTCAATTATTTATTTCTCATAATGGAGCGGGGGCGTGGCGATAAAATATTGCTATGGATAAAAATCCTGATGTTTTGTTGTTCTTTTTTTTTCTTTAAGAAGACATGGGAATATAAGTGTTAGGTGTAAAGTGGACAATGTTGGGAGGAAAATTTATGAAAATCTTCAACGTAGTCAGGCGTATATTGAACCTTAGCTCTATCTCTTGACTCTATCTGAACCTTAAAGACTCAATATGGGACAGCTTGGTCAACCCTTAGAGCACACAACTGCTAGCTTGAAAGACTCAAGTTTGTTTCCCACACTAAAGTTAATCATACGTCAACCCAGCTCTGATGGGTATCTGACTGGAGTCCACCCAGCTCTGATGGGTACCTGACTCTATTCCACCTA